ACTGTGTTGGGACTTAAATTTAGCTCCAGACTGACCATGAAGTGTCAGGCTTTTGAGTCGGTGATGTCAGAAGCTAGCTGATATTTTTTTTTCAGTAGAGGGAAGTACTGTCTGATAGTTCGAAGGAGGAGAAGGCTGCATTTCTGCACTTCACCTCAGTCTCATTGCAACTCCCAGATTCAGGTTGGAATGTCATGTGTCTCTCTGGTTCCCATTGCCTCATTTTTAACACAAGTGTGATAACACTTGACTGTATCACACCGATGCTGAACTGTGGTTATACCCTGAGATGTTGTGTCACGGATAACAGAAATAAAAAAGATGCTGTATCAGGGATTTTGGCATACTCAGACGACCAGAGTACTGTCCAGGGTACCCAGAGACTTTCTTCTTAGACTTCTAGCTTGTGCATGCTGCAACCATGTCTTTGATGTCCTATGTAGATACACATTTCTGCACATGTGCTTTAAGACCTTAATGAAAGATTAGTACCTTATAAAAAGAAAACACTGTGTTCGTTACACTAATCAAAGCTGACCTTTCATTTCTGGCAACAGTTGTAAGAGTTGTTGTAAAAGAGAGGAGACAGCAGTTCATAAATCCTAGCCTGTAGGCACACACTGAAAAAGAAAAGGTTGTTCCACTAGTACATGGGTAGCACTGAGTTTCCACAGTCCCATACACCATACTCTTGACCAAATGGAAAAATAGCAGTAGTTCTTTACATCAATGTGTGAAATACCTGTTTTTCATTAGAGACTTGAAGAGCTAGAGGGAACATGCATGGTTAGGTTGGTATTCAGCACGTATGAGATGGCTTTTGACTTGTTAACCAAATCACTAGTTGTTAATACTTACATTGTTGAACTTGTCATAATTTCCCTAGTCACTTTATATACATATGTAAGGAATTGTTAGGCTTACATTTGAGTGCATGCATATCTTTGTTTGTAGTGAGTGACAGGGTGAAGTCTGCAAATGCTATATGTGGTATGCTTTTAATAAATATGGACTGTTAAATGCCAGTTCTGAAACCTTTTGTATGTTCTTTTTTATAAAATAGACTAAGAATAAAAACATTTTGGACTGGAAAAGATCAGAAAAACCATTAATACAACAGCCATGAATTGAAAAACAACCAAGCAAGAGCCTATTTTATAATGTTTATGGTTGTTTTGACTGCTGTAGGTGTCTAGCCACTCCTTTCTAAGAGGAGACCCCCAGTTCTGGAATAGAACCTTTTAGGACTGTTTTCATTTTTTTAATGGGTGAAAGAATAAACAGCAGTATTGGGGGAAAAAAAATAAATTACATTATTTCCAGACTCAGTGAACTTCTGGTAGTTCTGGTTTTCAATTAATATGGTAGGGAGTTCGCTTTGGCTTGTTTCCAGTGACTCAAATGATCAACATATTTGCCAACAGTCACTTTCTCTCTTAAATCAAGTTGCAAGTCCTACGCTGAGGGTATAATGGTTGCCACATTTCCCTGTGCAATCAGTATACTGTCAGTTCTCATTGTGTTGTGAAGTGTTTCAGGATTCCTTGAATATGAAAGACACCATATAATTTCTTTTCCATCTGAGCAAATAAAAGCTGTTTTAAAAAATGAAGTAATACATTCCTCATAATAATAAGTGCAGTAATATGAACTTTTGCTCAAATAAACAACCTTATCTGATGTTTTATGTTGTCAAATTGAAAGACTTTTGTATAACAAGTTAGTTAGCAGTTATTGTACCTTGCCAAAAATATCTTATGTGGTGCTAAGTAAAGTTGTAGTGTTCTTTTTATTGAGATCTTTAAACACGCATGTTTTCTGTGAATAAGAAGTGCATTTTTGTTTTAACAGTATGCACATCAAGAGGATCTCATCAAGAAATGCAGTTCTGAGCTGCTTTGGTTAAGTTTACAGCCAATGGAAAGCAGAAAAGTTGGTGTAATTTTTACACCAATTGACTACAAAAGAGTAGCTTCCCTTATTTTAATCAGGTAAGCCAAGTTTCAGTTGTACATGAGAATCAAACAACTCAGTGTAAAAATGAATTTGCCAAATCATTAGCAAAGACAAATGGTTGAAATTTGAAAGTCAGAATACCTCCGTTTTAATCAAAATTGCTTAAAGGGTCTTTGTGCCTTGTGTCTCAGTCATTAAAAAAATAGAGCCTTTTTTCCTGATATATGATCAGTGGGTTATAAAATACATATGAATGTACTGATGTACTTTTGAGTTAGAAGAGTGTGATAGTTTAGCACATTGGGTGGCTTTGCTGTTTGCAACTTAACTCCACAATGCTAGGAGTTAAGTAGGCAGTGAGTCTCATGTGCGACCACACATTGGTTATGTCTGGAGCAAAAGAGAGTTTATGAAAGAAACAATCATTTTTACTAGGTGGCACTGTTGTTATTGGGTGGCAGTGGTCACAAAGCTTGTTCCTCAACTGTGTGAAATTCAGTGGTGACGGGTTCCAGACTTGTCCTGTCTCTAGGGGAAACCTATCCAGGTGTGACCAATGATTCTGTTACTGAAACGCTGTTGTCTTGCATTGGCACCTAGATAGAAAAGCCATGATTTTGCAAACTTCATCTGTGATTTAGTGGCTGATTGCTTGATTTTTATATGATGGCAGAAACAACTTGACTGTTCTGGACGTGATCAATGTAGAAGGCTTTGGAGCCAAAGAATTGCTTAAAGTAGGGGGAAGACTACCTGGTGCAGGAGGATCTCTTCGATTCAAGGTGCCAGAAGCTACACTAATGGACTGCAGACGACGTGAGTAAGAAGAAACAGGTCTCTGATTTTGTTGCTGGCTGCGTTACTCCGTAGTGGTACTGGTACAGTACAGTAATGTTAAGTAAACAGAATGTTGAAATAGAAAAAGCTGAAGAGCTTGGTCATGAGAAGTGTGGATTCTGTTTTCTCAAAACACTGACTGAGGATAGTTACAAATTCTAGAAATACACTACTGCAAAACAGTCTGTATTAAAATGTTGGTCACTTCTGAATTTTTTATTAGATTGGAAATAAAAAGAGAAATTTATTTATAAACATAAGAAAATGATTTTTATGCACTGTAAAATAATAATTCTTTTTTTTTTTTTTTCCTTTAAGAACTGAAAGACAGCAAGCAAATTCTATCCATTACGAAGAACTTCAAAGTAGAGAATATTGGGCCTCTTCCTATAACAATTTCATCAATGAAAATCAATGGTTACAGTTGCCAAGGATATGGATTTGAAGTGTTAGACTGTCAGGAATTTTTCCTGGCTCAGAACTCATCACGGGAGATCAGCATTGTGTAAGCACTGAAAAATTTGCTGACAAATTAACTTAAGTGGAAATTTGAAATAATTATTTCAGTAACAGACACTCCAATAGCACACCCGCACACAAAATTTGGTGAGCTTTGAATACAAATTTCGTAAGCATTTCCCCTTTTCAGTAAGGGTAATACTAACAAATTGATAATGTAATAATGTTTCTTTGTAAGAGTCCATTATTTTTAAAAAGCAGCGTATGTGCTTTTATCAGCGCATTATGAAGTAATAAATTAAAGCAAGAGTTGTCAAAATAAAAGAGTAAGAAATGCTTTGCCACTAACTTTTTGTAATTTGATTGTTATTCTCTAACTATTCTCTACTATTGCAAGTAGCCTGACCACAATCTAGTCGTGTTTTCCTAACATTGCACATAGTCTAAAACTGATTCTTTTAAAAATCCTATTGAGTGAAATTCATGACTTAAACATAAGTAGAGTTAATTACTGTATTACAGTAATTGCAGTTTCACGTACAACAAGTACCATCTCTACTGACTGGAAAAGGAAGTCATATCTTCTGGCAGTACCCATGGCAGTCAAATAGAATAATGGTATGGGTCAGGGAAATAAGTGGAAGAAGAGACAAATATGATGTTTTCTTCTGCTGTCCCTGTCTTTCCAGCCTTGTTCTAGACTTATCCTAGTACTGGGCTTTTTCCAGAGTAATGCTGCCTGTACACTTGATGACTGTGCTTTTGGTCAAGAGTGTTTTGATCAACATCAGTTGATCATGTGCACCTCACGGAGAAAAGGAAGATGAGCCACAGTAATGAGAGTATTGTGAAGAGTCACAATAATAACACATACTTTAACTGCTTGAAGATGACCTCAAAATCTTACCTCTCTTAGGTGGTAATGCCATCTGCATAGTCTAAGCAGACAGTGGTCATTTATTTCATTGTCTTTTTTAATATATTATTCAATCAAAAGATATTTGGTATTCTTCTGGTATCTTTGTGACTTCAGAAAATGAAATTCAGCCCAAGAATGGAAAAATAACACCAGCTCTGTCTGCTTTTCCTGCCAGATTCACTCCTGACTTTACATCTTCGTGGGTAATCCGGGAATTTACACTGGTGACTGCTGCTGATTTGGAGTTCCACTTCACACTCAACGTGACCCTTCCTCACCATCTGTTACCGCTGTGTGCAGATGTGGTGCCAGGACCCAGCTGGGAAGAGTCTTTCTGGAGGCTCACTGTCCTCTTTGTAAGGTAATGCTTTCAGGGCCCCTGCACCAGTTTGAAAGAACCTGCCAGTGAAAGATCAGCAAGCACTTTTGGCTTCTGTTAGATTTTTAGTGGTCATAAGAGCCTAAATCTCTACTGATTTTTAGTGGTGATAGGGCCTAAATCTGTCTCCTGAGAGTCCTGCCAGCTGGCTGTGACACCTTAGGTGTGATGCAGTAGCTGGTGATGGACTTGTCAAGCATTTCTTGCTGCTCCTCCTAATAAGCTTCTGTGTTAAGGCTGCAAATAAAAAGGGCTAGGATACCCCCCCAGGGAATACCCAGTGGGTACTCTCCTTGCTAGAAGACTTACCTTGTGCAGTAGAGACATACATGTAACATACTAGTATCTGAACATCATAAATAGAATTGAGTGGACTGCTAGATTAAGTATTTCTGGGAAATTAATATTAATTTTATTTATAAAGTTTCAGACAACCAATTGAGGACCTGCTTTTCCTTCCTCTTCTTTCCTCCTTTCACTTGTTAAAAATATTCATGTTTATTGTTAGCTTTTGGTGGGCACACTGCTAAACAGGCTGCCCCAGAAAGGTGATTTGGCTTGTGTTAGCTGACTCATTGCTTGCACATGGTAAACTGCTTTTAAGAGGACTGTACCTTTGTACAACAATTAAGCATTCTGCTCCTATGCATATTCTTTTTTTTTGTCTTCTTTTACTAAGCTTTCACACTGCGTAGTGTGAACTGAATGTTTTGTTTATCACAGATGATGTCCAGTGTTTTCATCACACTAACCTTGAATTCCTTCAAGCAGTGAATGTGAATGTCATGGTGATACATAGATGTGCTGGTGCATACCTAACTGAGATCCCGATGCACGCTGTGGTTCTGCTTGCATTGTTGTTTTGACACTGAAGACAGTCAGAGCACAAATGAAGCGTCAAAGATGACCACTTTACAGGGTTCTAGATGCAACAGAAAGAGGCTACAGGGATGTGAAAAATCAGGAATTTCTCATTCTGTTTTCCTGCTGGCAAAATTTATACTGCATGATTGAGAAGGTGGTTTGATGAATTACAAAGATTTTTGTTCTGATCCATCTTATATTTGGTGCTATTAATACACCAGGGAGAAAGAGAAGATATTTCGCAGCTTCAGTTTTATTGCAGAAGTATGGTGGCATTTGTAGCCAATTTTATGCCAGCATTTTCTCCAGGAAAAGAAAGAAGCAGTATTAAGTAAATATAAAAATAATGACCTAGCTATCATGAATGAATAGAAGGTACTCAAAAAGCTGATAGTTATCGTACTGTGATATATTGCCATTGTGTTGTAGTGAGACTTAACTTCTAACTGATCTTCAAATCAAGTATTAGCTTTTTTAGAATGGATTTTTTCTTTGTTAGATTTTTTTATTTGTAAAGCTCATGGCTGAATTATTTTCTCAAGAGAATAATTAGCAGCGGCTATAGGGGAAAAAAGGGAAAGACTATTACAACTGTTTGTTTTAAACTGTATTTTGAGTTTTCTCATCTGTCCTCTTACTTAGAATTTACTAACAGAATATTTGAAAACTGCGTCTTGTTGGAAGCTTTTTAACTCTTTCACTGAATGCTCCTGAAAATTGTAGACATGAGTATCTGTTGCTTTCTTTGGCAGTTTGTCCCTGCTCGGAGTGATTCTGATAGCCTTCCAGCAAGCCCAGTATATTCTAGCAGAGTTCATGAAATCAAGACAGAGGCCAAATCATACTTCTTCACCGCAGCAGAACAGTAACTCTGTTGACGTAATCAGCTCTGATTCCTACAAGTAAAAACATTTTTTTTTTTCCTTCTTTTGAATTGCCTTTTTTTGTACCCTGTTTATTGTGGAGTGATGCTTTCTGTCTGTTTGTATTTTGATATTGCTGTGGGCTGGTTTAGAAGGATAGTGTTCCAGGCAGCCTCTTTCAGCGAGCTTTCAGTGTTGTGGCATATATTCCTCTCCACAAAAGAGAAATGGAAGAACTCAAGAGTTTATTAATCTTATATATTGTCAGTAGTACATAAGATAAACTGTGTGATGAAAGTGAAGGATATACCCTGTGTGGCAGCCATGGAAGGAGTGGAAAATACATTAATGGTCCTCAAATCTGACCCTTTTGAAGTGGTCAGTTTTGCACTTACTCACTGAAGCATATTAGTGTGTTTGAAGTCTGAGCACATACTTATCGAGTTTTGCTCAACTCCCACCAAAATCAGAATGTGCTTAGCTTGTATGATAAATTGAAGACCTAATGCAGTTTCATGGCTTGTGAATATGCCCCCCTTTCTTTTCTTACAAAAATATTCCATAAAACAATTCATGATAGCTTCATAGATGAAAACAAGTCTAAAATAATTTATTTTTTTTTCTCCAGGGGAAGCTGCAAGACATTTATGGATTCCTATAGTTCCTCAGATAAAGGTAAAGGGAAGGGGTTCCTGTCTGTAGGCACTTCTTCCAGCCGAAGTCAGAATGCAGCAAAGAGAAGTCCTGCGACCTACAGCCACTCTCAGAAGAAACACAAATGTTCAGTTTACTACAGTAAGCAGAAAGCAAGCACAGCAGCTGGAAGTGCCATTGCAACTACTGATGAGAAACAAAACCAGATTGCAGAGAACCAAATCTCAGCGCCAAAAGAGGACATTTGCACTGATGTTGTCAGTGAGAACTGGGTAACTCTAAAATATGCAAATGGCATAAATGTTAACAAGAATTTAACTCTTCCAGAAAACTTTCTGGGTAAAGAAGAAAGTGCACTGAAAAATACAGTTCTCATTAAAAATACTTCTTCAGAGTGTGATCTGAAGGAAGATCTTCAAACATGTATGTTTCCTAAGGAAACTAACCTTAAAACTTCAGAAAATCTAGTTGAGCTCAAAGAACAGGAGTTCTGTCCTGTGAAGATGTCCAGGAAGCTACCTGAAAGTCACTTGTCCAGAAATTCACCTCAGCAACAGCCAGAACTGCAAGAAATTTCTAGGAAAACCAGTGGTAATTTTTTTTTATTTTTTTTTCAATTTCTGTCAGTCAGATTTACTGGGTGAAATCTTCTGTTGATTTCACTGTGATCAGGATTTTGCCTTTTACATGGGACAAGATGTGGTATTTCTGATATGTTCACTATGATTTAGCTGTTTACGTTCCTAAGGAAATAGCCTGCATTAAAAGTTGTTTCATAAATCATAGATTTGCCTTGGTTTACAGATTTCAAACTTGTGCTGTAACATTTTAATTGTTAAAATAATTTATGTTATAGACCTGCTTATAAAACACAAGTTGCCCTTGTTAAATATTCAGAAACATCCCAGTTTGTGATTTTCAGGTCAACTGAAAATCTGATGCCTGATTTTTAGTCACCAAGCAAGCATGTTCTGTACTGGATCTTCAGAACTTTTTTGATAAAACCACCTAAAATAACAAAAGCTGACATCAGAGTATTGTGAAGTTATACTTTCTAGGAATCTGCAGATCAACATTTCTCTTAGTAACTGCATAGCTATATTTTTTTTATCTTGGGGTTTTGTTTTGTTTTGTTTTTAATTGTGGAACTAAGCTGCCTGGAAATCTTACCTTTTGGCTTTGCAAGTCAAGAGCAGCCTAAGGGCACCAGGGCAAAATTGAGAGCAGGATAGGAGAACGTGTCCTCTGGAAGCTTGGCTTTACTTAGGCACTTGGCAGAATAGTTGAATGCTGAAGACTGGCGTTTGCTGTAGCTGTGGCAGAGTTTATTTAGTGAGTGAGCCGTTGCAGAGGAATTTCAGGCCCTGCTATAGTGTGTAGTTGTTACCCTGGGCCATTTGTTTCCCATTGTGTCATTATCTGTGAGGTACAGCGGGTACATGTGGGCCATCTCAGGTGGAGACAGGATAATTTCCCTCATAATTACAAAGTATGTTGAAATTCTTCATGTGCTCCTAAACTGCAGTGTTGTTCATTCTTTGCTTTGAATTAGGAAATCAACTGGAGGAAAAAAAAAAAAAATCAGTAATTATGTGTTAACTGTATTTATGTGCACAGGAAAGTAACTTTGAGTACAGGCTGAGGAAATCATGGTTATATGTAAGCCAGTTGGGAGGTACTAGACTTCTATTCATTGACAAAGCTTCCACCTTGAGTGTTTCAGGAGTACTGACAGTTACTTGTGTTCAGTGGTAAAGCACTACAGGTGATCTGCTGTGTTGTCTGTAAGCAGTTGTGGTTTTCTGCACTGTCAAGGATGCGAGTATTTCTGTTTCAAGAAGTTTGGTAGGATAAATGAAGTCTAAAAAGTACCATGTTGCAATGTTTGTATCTTGGTTATAGTTACAGACCTGTTTTTCTGCAAACAGGGAGTCTTCCAGACCTCAGGTACTTGCCTGTTTGTATGCTGGAGACCAAAAGAATGTTTTTCTAGAGCTGTGGCAGCTTCCCTTGCCTGGTGTCTCCCCTAGTGTTTCATTCACACCATCTCCTATTTCAGTCATCGTGACCACCTGCTCCAGAGGGGAGAGGGTGGCTGACTCAGGGCTAAGATGTAGTAGTTGATTGGTAGGTAGGAAACAATAAAAACATTTGAGCATGCCTTTCCCATTTGAGAAGACCAGTTCAGTGCGATAAGCGGTGGCATTTCTTATGGAGAGCAGCCGAGAGTCTCAGTAGCAGATCACTGTGGATGTATTGCAGATACCTGGAACTGATCAGAGCTGAAGGGAATTTTGTCCTGTCCACCACTGACAGTGCCCAGGTGGAGGTCTGTGACTCGACTGGGCAACTCAGCTAGTTGTTCAGGCGGGTTTCCTCTCTCATTTTCTTCATCTCTTGGCTTTTGTTACACAAGAATAATTATTCTTCCTGACAAGACTCTCAAGAAAATGAACTTATTAATGCAGAACCTAAAGAAAGGATGACTTCCCTTTGTCTTTATAGTGAATGCAGAGGGCACTTCAGAGACATAAAGGCTGTCCTTATTTTGATCTACCCATTTTTTGAAAAGTCTCCTCCCCACCCAGCTTGCAGGTTTTTTTCTGTTTATTTTTTAGCTCAGTATTCTCTGGCTTCAGATTCTACCTTACAGAGCCATGGCTGGGACCTGAATAGCTCAAATGGAGATTTGATGAGCAGGACTTGGGTAATTTATGCATGCACTAGGAGCGGTGTGCCCATCAGCATGAATCAATACAGAGCTACTTTTTGCAAAAGAATTTTTATACAGCATTAGCTTCTGATTTTGAAATTATAAGCATCATCAGAGGTTAGTCTCTTAATGTTTTGGAAAGCAGCACAAGTTTGTTTTTACAGAAAGGCAGATGATATTGTGGTTATGTTTGGGAGCCCATTCTCTTCCTAAGCAAACTGATGTTACTGTTTAATTGTAGGGAATAGCCAGCAAGTGCCTCTCAGGAATGAAACAGAAAACTGTGAGACTTTAAAAAAGCAGATCAACCTAAAGCCTTCCGTGGAGAAAAAGATTAATAAAGGACCTAAGGAAGAGACTCTGTGCTGCGCAAAAGAGGAGATTACTTCTTCCGAGGTTTGTATTATGATCTTTGCACTTTTCAAATTTAAAATGATCTTTTTGTTGTTTATTTATGTATGTATACACATACAGGTATGTATGTGTATGTAGGACTGTTATGTAAAATCGTAGACCTGAAGCACTGTAAGTCAGATGAATGAGGAAGTACACAGACATAGTGTCCCACATCCATTTCATATTAATGGTGCTTTAAAGAATGATGAGCAGTTTGGGTAAAAATTAAAACAGGCTTTGTGATATTGGCCGTATCACAACCAGAGATATTCTTGTTATTTTCAGAGCAGGCACAAGCATACTGGAGTCTAATGCCAGCTGTCAGCTACAGTAATGATGTGGGAACATATTTTGGAGGGGAGGTGTCCTAGATATCAGCCTTAGTTTGCAGACCTGATCTCCAGATTCAAGGCTTTGCATCAGAAATGTGCATTTGAGAATGCAGTGGGCAGAAAGCCCTTAGCAGCTTGTGAGGCTGCTAGAAGGATCATTCTTCACTCCTGGTTTCTGAGAACGATAAGAAACAGCAGACTATACCTTTATTGCAGGCGGTGTAAAACACTTTAAGGAACTTCATCAGGATGCCAAGAATTTGGATTATGTTTGTGTCCTATCCTATTGGATAGGAATCCCATAGCAAAAAGGTGTAAGGAGGAATTGCTTACCATGCTTGAGGAATATGTATCAGAAAAGACAGGGCCTAGTTTTGTTTTGGGATCTGTTGTTACAGACTTCTTTCCATGTGTGACTGATGGTGCTCAGTTTGTTTCTTGCATTTTTTAAAATGACTATTATTTGTTGCTTAACTTGCCCCATAATTTCCTCAGCCATAATTCAAATGAATGCCTCTCCCCAACCCCCCAGCTGCTGAGGAAAGGGAGGATTTATTGCTGCTGAACTTGCACACAAACTGATCATAAATCTGGCAGATGTTTTTTGGTTTTAGCACATTGGGAATTTTATTGACTGCTTTCCTTTTTCTCCCCCTATTATTTTTATTTCCCTGGAAGTCAGAGCTAGATGCTGTGAGGGGGAAAATGCTAACACTGGGAATTAAAAAATTTCTCCCTCATCATCTCTTAGTGTCTTGGAGGACAGAACCTTGGAAATGCTGGTCAAATTGATGATGCTGGAAAGAAGATGTGCTGTGGAAAGGCACTAAATCGTGAAGTAACTATGCATTTGGGTCAGGTTGTTTTGTCAAGAGAAATTTAGCTAGAAAAATCCAATGGAGTTCATTTACTGAGGTAACTTCATTTTATAATGTATGTATTGTCTCAGCTCATTTTTTTTTATCTTTAGCAAGGAGATGGATATAGGAAGAAGAAACCTCAGGAGAAGAAGGAAGGAAATGTACCAAATATGAATTGGAATAGAAATAGAACATCTAGAAAAAATAAGAAGAAGAACGTTAATATATCTACAAGGTATGTATTACCTCACCAAATCATAAAAAAATCTAGAGTTGCTGTAATGTTTCTGCAGGTTTTGCATAGTACATTAGGCAAATTGCTTTATCTACTTAATAAACGCACTTTAATCCTGTCTGAGCCTTTGTTTTTAAGAATGTACAGTACTAAGTATCACCAGCAAAAAAAGAAAAAAAATATTCCCTTTGTAAATCTGCGTGTGTATAGACACACCCCATTCTGCATAGCAGTGGTCGCTCTCTGTTACAGTCTGGAATTTGCTGTCTCTGAAGTCTGGATGGTTAGCTTCCTTTCCATTGTGTATTGTGTGCATAAAATCCAGTCCTGTGTTCTCTTCAGTGAATAAAGGAAAACAAAATTGTTGAAATGATTCCACCTTCAGGAGAATCATCTGCTATATTGAGTAACTGAAGGAATATTGTCTTCTACGAGTCTTGAAAGAGGGAGACAATTATGTAGAAAAGAGACAGCAGCTTGCATTTTGCCGTAACGATTAAAAAGATTAGAGTAGCACTAGGCTCAAAAGAAATATTGAGAGTGCCTTGGGAAATCAGGGCAGTTTTTTCCCCCTGAGGTTTGTTTAAATGCATTTCTAAAGTTAGCTGTAAACAACTCTTAATTATTTTTTCATATTTTATAAATTTAAGTTTTTTGGATTGTTGATAAAAAATAGCAGTTATGAACAGCTGCTAGAATAGAAACACTTATAAGGAGAAAATCCTTCTCCTTACCCTCCCCCAGCCTTTTGAATTAAAGTCACAATCCTACAAAACCTTCACAGACTAAATATTTATTGCAAGTGGTCCTATTGAGGTCAGTGGACTTAAGAAGGAGATTGTAAATCTGAAGGGGCTGTTATAACTTGTTATAAAAAAATTACTATTCATTGTGTGGGAAGTCAGCACTTTGCAGAATGCACACCTTTGTAGGTAGGAAGGATAGAAAAATGGAAGTGAAGGACTGAAATTTGGTGTCTGTTCCTTGAACTGATTCAGCAGTTGCTGCTTTCTGAGTTAAGATGTAACCATTTTCCTTTCTGCAGAAACTTGACAGCTGGATTTTATTCATTTTCCCTTAATACTCTCTGATTATGATATTGGATCCAGATATTTCAATTTTACTAGCAAAAAACTTAGGATTACTTGAGATGATGGTTTTATTCTAGTTATAATTATGCCAGTGAAATAGATGTAGGATGCATTTCTCTGCGTATCTGGGTCTTTGTGCAGTGCTAGACTGTACTTTTCACTATAACATCAGATTGCCTTCTGCAAGTGCATTAGAGAATGGGGTTAAACATACACACATTGTTTTGCTTCTTCCCCTGAGCAGTAGTAGTTTGTGTGGTGGGATATCGCATTTTGGGCTAAGTTTTTTAAGTTTCTGTAAAATTGGGGAATAAAACTCTGAAACCTATTCCTTGCCCTCTCTCCTGCCTTGATAGCCATGTGAGCTGAAGTGTTCAATGCCTGAAAAGGAAAAATGCAGCTGAAATGTATAATGCAAACACGTTTCTTTGGGTGTGGTTGTATTAGGGTCCCTGAGCAGAGTGAATTGAAGCATATGTGCGGTGAATTTGAAAGGCCGGATCTGAGAGCGAATATTGGAATAAGAGCCTGGTGTCCTCAGGGCAGCGGGGAAAATTGTAAAGCAGACCAAAAAGCTGGGAGCTTATCTCTCTCCCAGGGAGAAACAGGTACACAATCTTAATTGTCTTAAATGAGGGAAGAAATGTGATTTTTGTGGCTGTAGACCTGTAGTCCTTCCTTGAGTGACGTGTGCTTCTCTCCCTTTTGGACCCTGACGCAAAGACAGCAGAACTGGCATGATGCAGCGCCTGAAATAATACCTGCTCGCTTCTGAAGGGCTCTACATGCTTTCTCTGTGGGGTTGGTTGGTAGTGCAAATCAGGAGATGATTCAGTCTGAAGCCATAATCCATCAGTCCCGGGTGAAGGACTGCCAGTCTGCTTGTGTGTTCAAATTAAAGCTGGTATTAACTCAAGCAGCTGTGTTGTGAAGGCCACCTTTAGAACAGACAGGTCATTTTTAAAAACCACCACTAGCTTGGGTACCTGCTTCCTGCCTTTCTGGCAGGATTGTAATCAGCTGTTTTCCCTGGCTTTTGGGAAGAGAAGAGCTGAAGAAGGTATCAATGATTACGGATTTTCCTTTGCATCCCTGAAGAGATAATAAGAAAGGAGAATCTATCACTTCTGAATTTATTACTTCCCACATTTGTCATTGCTTTTAGTATGCATGTTCCTACAGCCAGGATATGTTTCATGTTTAAAATATCCACTATATTTTTCAAAGAACAGTATGGACTTCCTACTTCATACTGTTGCCTCTAACCACACTGTACCCTGACTTGCACTGATTGCACTGGGGATGTCTTGTAGGTCATAAGCTCCTCGTGGTAGGGCTGGCACATTTATCTTGAAACTATCAGTAAATACTATTTTCTTTCCTGTTGTCAAGAAACTCAGAGAATCCACGTGGATTCATGTTTTAGATGACTTTTGACTGAATCTTCAGCTGAAAGACTTTCTTAAATGTTTTGTATTGTTTTGTTTTTGCAACTTCTTTAGAAAGCTTTTATCAACGGTCCAAAAAGAAGTGTTTGGAGAAGTTTTGTTCTGATTCAAGCTCAGATTGTGGAAGTTCATCGGGAAGTGTTCGTGCGAGTCGTGGGAGCTGGGGTAGCTGGAGCAGTACCAGCAGTTCAGACGGAGATAAAAAGCCCATGATTACTGCCAGGCATTTTCTTCCATCCAGTAAGTTCTGCAAATAACACCTCTGCACCATAGTGGGCAGAGTTTCAGCATTCCTTCTGAATGGAAAGGGGTACCGTGGCATGGAGCATTTAACTTGCCTTTTATAGGTGAGAGCAACTCTCAGAAGCACAAGGAGAGATTTAAAGAATTTGGTACTTGTAAAAAAGTACCAGAAGTTTTGTGGAGACGAAGATGAGCTGTCAGGCTACAGAGAAAGTGTCAAACTCTGCACAATTAGTTTTCATGGAATGATGGAAGAACTGAGAGTCACTAGTCAAAGCAATTTTTTCTTTTGAATTTTGTTACATCACATTATTCTCATAAAAATACAGTCTTTTTGTTAGAGTTATTTAAGAAAATGCACAAATGAGAAATGTGTGAAAGCAGTTCAGATCTGAAGATGCTGGGATTGGATGGCAGTATTGGAGGCATAAGTAGCCAGGAGACCTGAGACACTTGACTATATGAGAAATGGGAACAGTTTTTTTCAAGGCCTGAATATAATTAAATAGTTGAAAGCCTAAACCCTGTCACCACCATCACCGTCCAGATTGATGTAGCCCTAGAAGTAAACTTTAAAGAAAGTGTTGAAGTAAAATCAGCTTTGAGTACCTGAAGAAAACTGTTTAGAATAATTAACAATGTGCATGTACTTACATGTCTGTTTGTTTATGTATAAGACTTTACATTACCAAAGGATACAGTATGTGATATATCTGAACTTGCAATCTAATAGATAATGAATTCTGTGCATGACTTTTCTATTTATTCAATTCGTAATGCCTCTTAAAAAAGAGCAAATAAGTAATTTGAAATTCAAAATTAATTTAGTAGTAACAAGGAACCTCTCCATTAAGAGTGTGGTAATCACCTATAAGTCATAAAATACATTTAAGTCCACATGGAATTAGATAGCATGCTTTGGAATAAATGCAGGTAGTGATACTCCAGTCTGAGAGAAAACTTGGTTAACACTATTTATGAGTCTATTTGTGTGTATGTATATTTTGTGCATGCTTCTTTTTTTAGGATCTTTGATTTTCACAGTCATTCTTTTCTTTAGGAGAGAATATTTCACAAAATGATTTTCCATCTGAAACTCCTATCACTTTAAATCTGTCTCATAACATCTGCAATACCAGGTAAAAAAATTGAATCGACACCTGTAAGACATTAAAGAAACAACACCAACTTGAAATCTTGTCTCATTTTGATAAATTATACCTACCTGTTGTCCTGTCATTTTTTGTGATCATCTAACTGTATGTTCTAGTTGGAAGAAGAAGAATCTTCTTCAGTAGGTGAAAAGATGTATGCAAAATAGATCATGTTGTGGAAATACAATAAATGCTTCCAAATGTAAAGTAAAATTGGGGGAAAAAGGAAATTGTTTTTCCCCTCTCATTTCTTCCAGATCTTAGCAACCTACTACATTTCCATTAGCACTTAGTTATATTAAAGTAATAATGATTTAAAAAAAAAATATGGGACTTAGACTTTCAAGTTGGTGTTGTTATTTTAATGGGAATAATGTTCTCTTAGGATATATAGCATGAAAATTGATTCCCCTGTTCCCCACATCCTTTCTACCTCTTTACTGTAGTAGAGATAGCATCCACAATTTTTATTACTATCAGTCCTTATTTCACTTCTCATTCATGACTCTCTTTTCACTAGCAGAAATAATTTAATCCTTTTCCTCTGGGATTCTGGTGCTTGAAAATGTTCCATTTCCACTCATACTGACTAGTTTCTTTGGTGGGATTTGACGAATATGAAATTGTTGTTCATGTGTGCCTATGTGTCTTTATGCACACAAAAGTAAACTTGTCTGAAAGTTGTTGAGAGTATTGAAACATTATGAGAGATCCTACTCGTCTTCATGGACTATAGCTTGTTTTCCGAGTTTAGAGAAGAGCTGTTGAATTAATTTGCAGTAGGTTGATACTTGGATGATAAAAGTGAGCCAATTAAGATGTATTAATTTAATTCATTTTGAATGTGTAATAAGTAGCTGGCTTTTAATTGGGAAAAAAGCTGTTAAAAAAATGGCATGGGGTTAATTCAATATAAGAAAAATGAGGAAAGAAAGTGGGAAGGCAATAGCAACCATGATGTTGATTGGAATTTTTTTTTACTTCTCTGTATATTTCCTTTTAAATACTTTGGATTATGAAACATAACATGCCTAGACTTAAGAAATTAAATCTTCTTTTCATTCAGCAGAGACATGAACAGCATCCCCCAATATCCTGAAACCTTATGTCCCAATTTCACTGACATAGCTGCAGATCCTGACAAAAATAAAGGTCAGTTATTTATTAACAACTAAAGCTGTTTTTTACACAGTTTGTCAAGCAGTTTCAGTGTTATTGCTAACTAACGCTTGTATACACCAACTTAATAGATATGTTGTTTTTAGAACTTCTTTCTAAACAAGTTAACAGCAAAGTTAGCAAATCAAAGCTTATCATCTTGGCATTTTTTGCTGCATTGTGCCTCTGTGAAGACAGCATTTAGCTTTCAACTCATGTTTTGGATATTCTTTGTTTTTTCATCCTCTTGCTTTGCATAGGTTTATGTCCAAAAGTAATGTGGTTGGGAGATCAAGAGCACTGATTGCTGTGTTAAAATGAAGCTCAGCATCAAATCAAATATCACTCTAAATTTCCACAGTTGGGACTTGCTCTCTTTGAAAGCAATAATGAGTGAGGTTGGGTTGGGCTGTTAAAACTCCTGAGTTTTCATTCTTTGTGTTGCAAAGGGAAGTAATATTAACTTGTTGAGTGGAATTCATAAAACCAACAGGCTACATGGTGAGGGGGAGTTTGAAAGCTGTTTAGGACCCATGGTTCTTTGGGCAGAACTGCCTACTTGTGACTGTCTCCTCTGCTCTAAGTTTAACCTGTGTCTGGTAGGATACAAATGCTGATTAAACTTTTTCTCCAGTAGCAATGTTCGTAATATCTATTGTGTGAAATCATGAAACAGAGCTAATTTTGTAACTGTTGTCTTACGGAGACTGCCGATTTGGATTTTTTCCTTTCTCCAGCTCCCTGTTCTCACAGAGCTGATAGGAACCAAGTATCTGTGGGCAGTCAGGGCACTCAGTCCATAGAGACCAGTACAATGAGTATCTGCCCTAGGACCTAAATGCATCCGTAACAAGTTGACGTATTGCTTGATCGTGGGCAGCTCTAGCCTATTAAAAACCTGACCCTGTTCCGCTCCATTTGTGTGGTTGGACTTCAGAGGTGGTTACTTGACTGATGGGTGGGGGCATTGGGGAGGCTGGTGGGCATCACATGGCTGCCATCCATCCTGCTGTGAGGAGGGGTGCCACCTTGGTGCTGGCGGCTGATGACTTAAGGACTTTCTGTAGGAATTTCTTGCCCTGTTTTGTTCAATTTCAGCTTCTCAATTCAAGTCTTTTTTTATATATATTTTAACAAATAGAAATTTTGAGATTTGTTTAAAGATGGACATTCATCACAAAAAAATAGATTGGATAGTAGTTCTGGACTTTTTATAATAGCATATAATCCTTACTGTGGATCTGGGAATAAAGTGTCATTGTGATATTCAGGTTTGTGGAGGCTCCTTCCTGTTGTTCTGCGTTTCATTCCCTTTTCCCTTTTTAGGTCTTTACCCAACGGGAGACTTGTGGCCTGCGCAGCCAGTCTGCCTGACAAACAGTTTAAACTACAACCTTGAGAATAACATACCGTGCATGATCCAAGAAACCCCCTCTGTCCACAACAGGCAAGTTATGTTTTATGTAAACAGTATGGATAACGCTTTTTCTGTGATGCAGAAGGCTACACTTGAGCTTATCTTATAATACTTGTAAGGCACGTGGTAATTAACGTAAAATTCTTGCTGTCACTTCGATCTTAGTTCTAGATGTTTATGCTCTTCCCTTAGTACATTATAATTAATTATGCTAAGACAGATTCACTGGTTTCATGCTCATATGCAGATATTCCAGAACTTATGTAAAATTTAATTAAATACCTTTTGGAAAGCTTTTAATTTCTTCCACTTCTTTTGCGTGGCCAGGCAGAGGGCCTGGCTTTTAGGTTTGGCTTCTTCTTGCTAAGTACATAGCTTCCGTGTATCATGGGGTGTGTTGCGCAGTGCGTACTCGTGTTAAATGCTGTGAACAGACATTGTTAAATAAAGGCAAATAGTCCAGTTTGAGGGTGATGTAAGGGTAGAAGTTGGTCTGTTTGAGGCTCTCTGTAGATCTGGGTTGATCTTCCTGCAGTAATGAACTTGAATAATTCTGGTACTTCAGACTCTCCTCACTGCAAATTGTGCTAATGAAAGATGCACCACAAACTAGTGAGAAGAAATACTCTGCCACCACATAACAGTGAAATACGGACAGTTCTTCAGGTCATACCCTGTCGTCTGAAAAGACACAGTGGTCATGCAGAAATCTCCAAGTGATGGTCTTGTGATCCCAACCAGCTTGCTAACCTTAGTTCTAACTGTTGTGTCAACGAACTCCAGCTCTAATGACTGGGAGTGATGGCCAGCTTTCTGTCCAGCTCTTAAGTCAGATGAAATATATGGTGATTTGTGGCAGACTGCATTATGCTACTTTACTTTCCTACGCCCATCTCAATTTGGACTTCATATGCAAAAAATCATGTAATTATTTATTCATATGTAGTAGGAATAACTTATGGTAATTTCTTCCCTGAATAGTAAAACTGAATTAGCACAACTTGACATGAAATCCTTTTATATGCCTAACTTGTGCAGACTGGGTCCAGACCTGGACTTCTTCAAGCTCATTGCACAGCAGGCCTTGTTTCACTTCTGACATATCTTTAAGAATTACTTTTGAAAAGTCCTCTTGAAATTCTGAAATTATTTTAATTAAAACAAGTCTTAATTCCTACAAATTAATGTGTAGTTTAGAAAACGTATTATTTAACAGGAATTTAACACGTGGTGGTTTAACCACAGTAGGACCATGCAGTCCTGCACTCACTCCCCCCACCCAGTGAGATGGGAAGGGAATCACAGCAAAGGGGCTACGGGATTAGGATGAGGACAGGGACGGCTCCCTCACCAGTTGTGGTCACAGACAAAACAGACTCAACTTGGGAGAGAAAAATCAATTTAATTCATTGCCA